CAGTCATCTGAGCGAGGACAGGAGCAAGCTCAGCATGCATATTGGGTTTTAACCTTCTGAATGAATGAATGATTATGGAATGTTACCGAATAGATAACAACAATAGAAAGAAGCATCTGGTGGCATCTCGATTTACAGCATTTCCCTCAATCAGACAACAACATATGTTCAAAAGTAGCCCAATTAGCAGGAGGGATGGGGGCATCTTCTTGTTGCTGAAGTTTATAATGGCTGTCAGTCAAAACCCATACAGCACTTTTATACGGAGAACGGGCAACAACGAAAATAATGTATAAAGAAAGGCCATGACATAATATCAAAAAGAGAATGGAGAATGGAACGAGTCACATTTGAATTGAAACGACCAGATTTAATTGAAAATACCAAATGTCGGCCATTAACCATCTGAATATTTCATACACTATTATGGGACTTGGCTGGCTTGATCTATTTATTTTTTTCTTCCTATGGGCCTACAATGAAATATATATTTCAATTTTAATCATGAAGTGTATTCACTATCGCATGGCATGGTTATCTTTGCTCAGCTTCAAAAGCCCTGATTAATAAATGGAGTAGATGTGCACAAAGATGCCCTCTGGTGGTTGGAACAAGCATTAACTGCAAGCACAGTAAAACACCTTACCACACCGTAGTATTACGGAACTTTTAATTGAGGAACCACTGTATCCCTTAAACAATGTAACCTACGCTTTGGTCCTATTATTGCTCACATAATTTCTATTTGCCGCAACATTTTAAAACAATGTAACTCGGACTCAAAATGGCATGCCCATATTCCAATAATTCACAATAATGCCTTGCGATCTGGAAGGCAGCCTTTTGCATCCCCCCAATGATCAAAACGTGGAATCCGTACCTTTGCTGATATCATGGACAGTATAGGTTTGAGAACATTCCGAGATTCGACAGACACATATACTGTACATTACCAGGCAACTCCTTTTTTCTATATTTACAACTTAGGTCAGCTATGCTAGCCTATGGAATCCCTTGGGAAACCCAATTACGAACCATCCAATGATGAAGTGTTCCACAGGGATGCTGGCCCATGTTTACTCCAATGCTTCCCACAGTTGTGTCATGTTGGCTGTATGTCCTTTGGGTGGTGGACCATTCTTAATACCCATAGGAAACTGTTGCGCGTGAAAAGCCCAGGAGCTTTGCATTTCTTGACACAAACCGGTGTGCCTGGCACCTACTACCATACCACGTTCAAAGGCACATACATGTTTTGTCTTGCCCATTCACCCTCTGAATGGCACACATACACAATCCATGTCTCAAGTGTCTCAAGGCTTAAAAATCCTTCTTTAAACAGTCTCCTTCCCTTCATCTACACTGATTGAAGTGGATTTAACAGGTGACATCAATAAGGGAACATAGCTTTCACCTGGTCAGTCTATTTCATGGAAAGAGCAGGTGTAATTAATGTATTGTATACTCAGTGTGTATACATATATATTTTATGTTTTATTTATTTGCTTTCAGCCCACAGGGAAGGGGTGATATGGGGAGGTTTTTCTCTGGTCGCCAGTAGGGGGGCGGGAGGGTGGATGTAAAAGCATCTACGGTTGATACACTAAATTACCAAAAGTATGTGGACACCTGCTCGTCTAACATCTCATTCCAAAATCATGGGCATTAATCTGGAGTTGGTCCCCCCTTTGCTGCTACACCCTCCACTGTTCTGGGAAGGCTTTCCACTAGATGTTGGAACATTGCTGCGGGGACTTGCTTCCATTCAGCCACAAGAGCATTAGTGAGGTCGGCACTGATCTTGGGCGATTAGGCATGGCTCGCAGTCGGCATTACAATTCATCCCAAAGGTGTTCGATGGAGTTGAAGTCAGGGCTCTGTGCAGGCCAGTCAAGTTCTTACACACCGATCTCGACAAACCATTTCTGTATGGACCTCGCTTTGTGCATGGGGGCATTGTCAAGCTGAAACAGGAAAGGGCTTTCCCCAAACTGTTGCCACAAAGTTGGAAACACAGAATCGTCTAGAGTGTCATTGTATGCTGTAGCATTAAGATTTCCCTGCACTGGAACTAAGGAGCCCAGTCAAAAGTTTGGACACACCTACTCATTCAAGTGGTTTTCTTCATTTTTTACTATTTTCTACATTGTAGAATAATAGTGAAGACATCAAAACTATGAAATAACACATATGGAATCATGTAGTAACCAAAAAAGTGTTAAACAAATGAAAATATATTTTATATTTGAGATTCTTCAAATAGCCACCCTTTGCCTTGATGACAGCTTTGCACAATCTTGGCATTCTCTCAACCAGCTTCACCTGGAATGCTTTTCCAACAGTCTTGAAGGAGTTCCCATTTATGCTGAGCACTTGTTGGTTGCTTTTCCTTCACTCTGCCGTCCGACTCATCCCAAACCACCTCAATTGGGTTGTGGAGGCCAGGTCATGTGATGCAGCACTCCATCACTCTCCTTCTTGGTAAAATAGCCCTTACACAGCCTGGATGTGTGTTGGGTCATTGTCCTGTTGAAAATCAAATGATAGTCCCACTAAGCCCAAACCAGATGGGATGGTGTACCGCTGCAGAATGCTGTGGTGGCCCTGCTGGTTAAGTGTGGCTTGAATTCTAAATCAATCACAGACAGTGTCACCAGCAAAGCACCCCCACACCATAACACCTCCTCCTCCATGCTTTACGGTGGTAAATACACATGCAGAGATCATCCATTCACCCACACCGCTTCTCACAAAGACACGGCGGTTGGAACCAAAAATCTCCAATTTGGACCCATACCAAAGGACACATTTCCACCGGTCTAATGTCCATTACTCGTGTTTCTTGGCCCAAGCAGGTCTCTTCTTCTTATTGGTGTCCTTTAGTAGTGGTTTATTTCCAGCAATCGACCATGAAGGCCTGATTCACACAGTCTCCTCTGAACAGTTGATGTTGAGATGTGTCTGTTACTTGAACTCCGTGAAGCATTTATTTGGGCTGCAATTTATGAGGCTGGTAACTCTAATGAACTTGTCCTCTGCAGCAGAGGTAACTCTGGGTCTTCCATCCCTGTGGCGGTTCTCATGAGAGACAGTTTCATCATAGCGTTTGATGGTTTTTGCGACTGCACTTGAAGAAACTCAAAGTTCTTGAAATGTTCCGTATTGACTGACCTTCATGTCTTTAAAGTAATGATGGACTGTAATTTCTCTTTGCTTATTTGAGCTGTTCTTGCCATAATATGGACTTGGTCTTTTACCAAATAGGGCTATCCTCTGTATACCCCCCCCCCCCCCCCCCCCCCCACCTTGTCACAACACAACGAATTGGCTCAAACACATTAAGGAAATAAATTTCACAAATTAATTTTTAAGAAGGCACACCAGTTAATTGAAATGCATTCCAGGTGACTACCTCATGAAGCTGGTTGAGAGAATGCCAAGAGTGTGCAAAGCTGTCATCAAGACAAAGGGAGGCTATTTGAAGAATCTCAAATATAAAATATATTTTGATTTGTTTAACACTTTTTTGGTTACTATATGATTCCATATGTGTTATTTCATAGATTTGATGTCTTCACTATTATTCTACAATGTAAAAAAAAAATTAAATAAAGAAAAACCCTTGAATGAGTAGGTGTGTCCAAACTTTTGACTGGTACTGTATATTTTTATTTTCACAATATGGTGGGAAGGAAAGATAATTCTTCATGTTGTTGTTTGTTTAGTGTGTTACCATTTGCCCAGAAGTGGTTAGATTCTATGGATTATTCAATTACATTGAGCTGATTTCTGACGTGCTGTTCCTTTTTCTTATTATATTTCTGTACTCTACGACCCTGTGTGGCTCAGTTGGTAGAGTATGGCGCTTACAACGCCAGGGTTGTGAGTTTGATTCCCGTGGGGGACCAGTATGAAAATGTAAGTTGCTCTGGATAAGAGCATCTACTAAAATGTAAATGGACTGTTTTCTGGGTCTCAATGTTCTTGGTTGGATAGGTTTCTCAATTTCTTTCTTGTCACTGTTGTTAATTTTCTTAGGTTGTCTGCTTGAAATTGTTAGATTTGATGATCAAATGTACTGTTTAGGCTTTCTATTGGCAAGTTTACACCTTCACTATTGCAGTGAAAGTATTTTTCCCCCAGGAAGTTGTCTAAAAGGGATTGAATTTGTTGTTGCCTACTAGTTTTTGACACTACTTTCCTTCCATCTATAGCATTTCTTAATATTATGCAGTTCCTTTGGCTTTCATGACTCATGATTGAGTATTGCTCTGTTCAAGTAGACTGTGATCTGATTGATGGGGGTGACCCCTCTCTCTCTCTCTCTCTCTCTCTCTCTCTCTCTCTACTCTCTCTCTCTACTCTCTCTCTACTCTCTACTCTCTCTCTCTCTCTCTCTCTCTCTCTCTCTCTCTCTTTCTCTCTCTCTCTCTCTCTCTCTCTCTCTCTCTCTCTCTCTCTCTCTCTCTCTCTCTCTCTCTCTCTCTCTCTCAGAACTAGCCCAGGCGCTATGCTGACCACATTCCTCATGCCCTTGTTCAATGGACATTCATCACTCGTCTACTCGTCAAATATTTATAGGGACTGCCAACTTTACAGATTCCGTCATTCTCTGGCACAGCATTATTTTAAAAGACAATGTCCTCCTGCTTTTTCCCATGTCATGTTCTGCTCTCTTGATCAGACAAGGTTTTATTTCTTAATGATCCATCTTGATAACATTCTTGATGATATTCCGCTAGCTCCCAAGGCGTTGGAGTACATTCCTACATCACTCCCAAAGCACCACTCCTCCTAATCACAGTATAATAATCACTTTCATATTAGTATTACTCACTCAACAGCTCATCTAATGAAGTGAATCATTCATTGTCCAAGTGCTATATACAGGAACACAGTTCTACAGTAACTATAGTAACCTTGGGCATACACAAGAGGTGTGACTGTGAGGTGTTCTATTGCTGACAGGCAGAGGTCAGAGGAGCGCTGGGTCAGTCAGTCTATAGGGTCATCGTGTCAAACACTGTGTCCACACACACTGTGGGGTTTTTCCACTTCCCACAGATGTGATGGTCGGGATGCGTGTGTACGTACAACATGTGTGAGTGTGTGTGTTTGTGTGTGCATACCTGTGGGTCGGACAGGCGTCCCAAGTCTGGGTAGAGGTAGAACTTGATTCCTATGAAGGCTCCAGGCAGGGTGACCCCTCTGATGAGCAGTATACACAGCATGATGTACGGGAAGGTAGCTGTAAAATACACAACCTGAGGGGAACAGGGTTAGGGTTGTACTGTACATACACATGGCTACAGTATACACAGTGCAATACAGTACAGCACCAAGGATCACAGATAGCAATTTACAACATAGCGGGTTAACCAGGTGTCTATTCATAACAAGAAGCAAAAGAGTAAATGAATGGTCTCTAGTAAAAAAAGTGCTATCTGAACCTAAAAGGGTTCTTCGGCTGTCACCATAGGGATAACCCTTTTTGGTTCCAGGTAAAACCCCTTTGGGTTCCACGTAGAACCTTCTGTAGAAAGGGTTCTAACTGGAACCCAAAAGGGTTCCACCTGGAACCAAAAAGGGTTCTACCTGGAACCAAAAAACCCTTTTTTCTAAGAGTGTAGTCATCTCAGCTATTGTATCACGTTATCTGCCAGACTACAACAGGACCACATACCTAGAGTACTTGGCTGTCCAAAGGTGTTAAGTAACATTAAGAAAATGTGTATAAATACTTAGAATATGTCCTGAACAAGTGACCAGACCAGTAGCAACTCTTGGTCCTATTCATTGCCAGAGACTCTGCTATTGACTTTTGGAATTTAAGAGCCTTTCCGGTAAGAACACCTTTCTATATACCGGTGCTGTTAAGTGGAACAAACTACCACAACAACTTAAAGCTATGCCGACCAAAACGTATATTTTTTAAGTATGTCAAAAGCTGTCTGGTGACCGAACCGTATAACCATTTTCATGTCTGTATCTATGTAATGTATTGCACCATGCACTTTAAGGGACCACAATGGAAATAAATAATTGATTTTGTGTTATCCCTGTTAAATCTTTCAAATGTATGTACTGTGTGTATTTGTATTTCTTAAACTGTCAAATAAAATCACTCAATCAATCAATATAGATAGGTCCCTGAGGCTCTTCCTGGTCAGAAACGGTATTAGGGAGGCTCACAGAGACATCATCTAGAGTAGATTCCTTTACCTTGCCAGTGGACTTGACTCCCTTCCAGATACAGAAGTAAACCAGTACCCAGGCTATGGCCAGACACAGCACCAGGTCCCAGTTGAGAGATCCTATATGGTCTATGCCAGATGAGATACGCAGAACCCTCCGCCTACACAATCACAAACACACAAGGGAACAGATAACATGAGATGACTATAAGTGGATACATATGTGATTGCTATTTACAGATAATCAAACATGATTAGTAAGCTCTGAAATTACAGAGCAAACATGTACATTATGGAGGTATCTGTAAGGACACAACAGCTCTTAAAATCACCCATAAAGAAGACTAGCTTCAAGCCATCCTGTTTTTGTATTCAGCAGCGCAACACCAGTTGGCAAGACAACGGCCAGTTGGCTGAGGAATAAACAGTATGCTACCCAGGCTCCTTAAGGAGATGGAGAAACAATAGACTCTTAGTACTTACTCCCAGAACTCAATGACAGGAGACGTGGCGTTCGGACGTGGCTGATTGAAAGAGTCATTCCTCCTCTGGAACTCCATGCAGGAATCTTGAGAACAGAGATGCACAACAAGTTCACACACAAGTTCAGTGAGGACACTGGCTATATGGTTTCTCTAGGGAACCCAACCATATTCTAACGTTAGGTAAGGCTACATGGGACACCACCAAGGTGCTCTTTGGGATTTTAGGCTGGGTTTCTGTTTAAGCACTTTTTGACAACTGCTAATGTTAAAAGGTCTTTATAAATACATTTGATTGATTGAGCGTAGTACTGGATGTTTCAGCTCAACCTCTCTCTCTATATGGTGGCATATTGGAGTTTTCCTTATACAATCGTGTTTTGAGGGCAGCTCTGCCTCGAGGGCAGAAACAATTTGAATGTTTAGGCAATAAATATGATTGGTTCAGTTTAAGTAATCCCAATTGGTTAGGGTTAGGGGTTGAGTAACATTCAAACCAGCAACCTTGCCGGTGAGCTTTCATCCAACCAATCATATTCCTTCTTCCCTTGAGGCAGAGCTTCGACAAGATTGAATAAGGAAAACGTCCACTGAGCATATGGTGGATCTCTGACCTGTGTTCCATGTGTTGTTGCAGGAGGCCCAGGGCAGGTCCCAGGTGAAGGAGTAGGACAGGTAGAAAATGGCCCAGGCCAGTACGATGATGTAATAGAAGTTCAACAGAGCCACGATGACTTGTGTGGCGTAGCCCACTCCTGCAGCGAGGACCAAGGACAAGTGGAGCATTGTGGCTAGCTATGACAATGCCTTTCAATGTTGAATACAACAACACGCATGAAAACCATGACTTCATTCACATTGCCGACTCTACCATTTCCCATCCGGTAGCCTCTCTGGCTCCTGTGTGAATGTCTACAGTTATATTGTCCTTATTAGGAGCCAATTGAATGATGAAAGCATTGGATACTTGGAAATCTGCCAGTGTCAGTGGCATGCCAACCATTACATCAACCCCCTCCTACTACATACTGGCGGACAAGCACGCACTAACACACACATGCACTCACACACTAAGGCAAAAAGTTCTACACATTTATATTTTATTCAATTCAGTTATGCAGACAAGTAGTAGACATGGGAGTAGATAGAGGTAAAATCCACTAAAAAACTATTTTTTGGTATTTTTTTAATTAGTCCATTTTTAAATTAGTCCATTTAGTCCATTTTTTTAATACAGTCCCAAAATGTTTTGCACTTTCAAGAAGCAACATGATGATGCAAAAACCAAAAGATAGCTTTTGGGTGGATTTTCCCTTTAACCCTGTCCTTGAAAGGCATTAATATGCAGTGCACATTAAACAAAATGTAGTTCTGACAAAATGTTTTGTAACTGTACTATAACTGAAAAGCCAGATGTAGTTTCACAGGAACATCCAAATTAGTAAATCCATGAAGAAAGGCATTGCGTCATAGACAGTAGATATTAGAGGAGGATCACCTTCAAACAGTGGAGTGATCTTCCTCCAACAGGTGATGCCTCCCTCGCTGGTGTACTGTCCTAGAGCTGTCTCCAGGAAGAATACTGGGATCCCACACGTGAAGAGGAAGATCAGGTAGGGGATGAAGAAAGCACCTGTTGGGAGGAGAGGGGGAGAGTAGAGAAGTTATCAAGGTGTCGACTCAAGCACTAGAACTCAATTTTGATATGAGGTCAGATGACATATGCAATCAACAAGGATGATGCCTTTTGAGGCAGCATTTCAAGGTCGGACGTTTAAATTGCAGTGTCTCAAAGGTACTCTAAAATGCTACATTGATTTGGCCAATTTTAAAGTCAGCATCCAACGTATCCTTTGCCGGTTAGGATATCCACAGACCTTACGGCGCAACTTCCATTACAATTAATGGCGGACGGAAGACCCCGATTTGGAGAACATTCTCCAGAAGAATGAGGAGTAACTTTGTGAAATGTGAGAATTATGTTTATTTATTTTCCAAATTATTTGAAAATGTTGATCAAATTACAGTAATTTGAATAATAATGTCAATAATTTGGACAATGGCGAGTTTGCTGTTACAATGCTAGCCAAGCTAGCTAACGATGACATTTTACCAAGATATGAGAAATGGGGGCTAGACATAATGCCTATGCATCAACAATTGTTTTCTGATAAAATGATACATTATCTGTCACGGTTTCGGCCGAGGCTGCTCCTCTTCCTTGTTCGGGCGGACTTCGGCGGTCGTCGTCTCCGGAGTACTAGCTGCCACCGTTCGATGTTTTTTGTTCTTTTGGTTTTGTCTGTGCATAACACCTGTCCCTTATTTGTGTCTTGATTATTCTCCTTATTTAGTTGGTTTGTTTGGGGCAGGTGTTATGCGTGATTGTTATTGTCAGTTTGCCTCCGAGTAGTTCTCTCTCTCGTTTATTTAGTATTTCGAGAGTTCGCACTGCGTGCGCCTTTTCTTGTTTTTCCGCACTGTGTGTTGTGCGTAATTGTTCGTGCCGCCCGGTTGGGTTGGCGACTCATTTTCCCGTGTTGGGATATATATATATACTAAAGTCCGTTGAAGAACCTCCTTGTCCCTGCGCTTGATTCCTGCACTACATCCACACTCTACACTCTGACATTATCTTCACCCTAAAGTTCTACAGATATAAAAACAATGAAGTTTAAAATGAGCAATTTAAAAAACATCCAGCCTGTCGTTATGAAAAACTTGTTTTAATTGGTACCTCCATAATATTGTGGGATATAATAAATTCCAGGAAATGAGTGTTGATGTTTTGACTTCTCTCAAAGCAAACAGTTGTGTTGTTTGCTACTACTGGACTGCATGTTTGATATGTTTTATGAGTCTGGGCTTGGCAGCACAGAAGCAGAAACAGATATCAGTCTGAAAATAGCAATTGTTATCCACAATTTATTAGGGGGATTTATTGCTCAACAACCATTTACATACCTCCAAATTAGCACTTTTGAGGTTTTACCCACTGCTCATCCCAGATTCCATGCCCTTCATAACTGTTTATAGCATTAAAACACAATGTCCTCAAAGGCTCCAGTGCCATTTAAGTTCATAACAACAGGCTTTGGGTCAGTTAACAGCAAAATAGTAGCTAAACTGATATTTCTTCAATGATATGGATATGACATCAGTCACAGTTGTCCTGATCAATAGTACTGAAGGACAATTATGAACCGATAATATGAACAAAATGATGTGACATGTTGTCACTGAGCACTATGATGGTAGTCCTTTCCTGCAGTCAAATGACCTAGTGGCCTCATGGGTGGAATGTTATTAATATTTTTCATAATTACATTATTAATAAACATATATATTTGTTTTAATGTCTGAAAATCCGGTGTTTCTATGTCAAACGGTTTTGTTATATTTCAGTCTTCTGTGATGTATATAAAGTGTAATATTGGAATGCAAACTCAAAATGGAATACATTTCAACTCTATATCTGACATGGTACAGGTGTCTTCTTTTTTTTAAGCCCATAACCATGTGTGTGAGGTGTATACTTTTGTTTCAAAGTAGATTTGTTTAAGACTACCAATAAACCCTCTGTGTGACCCTGATTTAGCCCACTGCAGTAAAAGGTTAACACCCACCTCCTCCGTTCTTGTAGCACAGGTAAGGGAAGCGCCACACATTGCCCAGTCCTATGATCTCCCCGGCGACAGATAGGACAAACTCCACCTTGTTGCCCCATTGACCCCTCTCCTTCATCTTCTCATCGCTCTGTGGCACAATGTCCAGGGGCCGACTGTGGTCGTTGGAGGGGTCCATCTTGGGCAGGCTCTCCATGTCGCCTGAAGAAGCACCACATTGGAGTGAGTGGAGGAGAGGTGAGACACTGTGAGGGAGAGGAACGCTACCTTCCATAATTATATAGGCTAACCCCACAGCCTAAAGTCTTGCATTCACTGTGTAGTGATATTGAGCAGGGAAGGGGTTTCTTCTCCTGTAGTATCTGTGTGCCTTTATCACACCACTCCCAGATCAACGGGCCCATCATAAAGCAAACACAACTTTACAGTCCCTAAGGCTCCTTGAAATTAACAATGGGAGGAGTACAAGCCTCAAGGACATGGAGGTTATAGGGGGCCCTTCAGTTGTGCATACATCCCCTTTGAGTGTTTGGAACAAAGGTCAAGAAGCAAGAGGTGTGAGAGAAGGAAGAATTTCAAGACATTTCTGTAGTTCTCACGCAAGAAAGTGTCAAACACTGACACGTCATATACACTGAGTGTACAAAACATTAAGACCAACTGCTCTTTCCATGACATTGACTGACCAGGTGCATCCAGGTGAAAGCTATGATCCCTTATTGATGTCACCTGTTAAATCCACTTCAATCAGTGTAGATGAGGGGGAGGAGACAGGTTAAAGAAGGATTTTTAAGCCTTGAGACAATTGAGACATGGATTGTGTATGTGTGCCATTCAGAGGGTGAATGGGCAAGACAAAATATTTAAGTGCCTTTGAACGAGGTATGGTAGTAGGTGCCAGGTGCACTGGTTTGAGCGTGTCAAGAACTGCAACGCTGTTGGGTCTTTCACGCTCAACAGTTTCCTGTGTGTATCAAGAATGGTCCAACACCCAAAGAATATCCAGCTAACTTGACACAACTGTGGGAGGGAAGCATTGGAGTCAACATGGGCCAGCATCCCTGTGCAACTCAATATTAGGAAGGTGTTCTTAATGTTTTGTACACTCTGTCCCTCCCTGTCTAGAAGGGGTCCAGTCAGTAAAAATTGGGTCTTACGTGACGGCTTGTTTGAGCTTCCCAACTCATGGCCCAACGGTGTTTAGGGCCAGTGATGCTGAAAGAGGAAACAGACAGCTCACTGACCGTGCTCACTGCTGTCATATCTCATTAACAAGGCCTGCCCCTCCCTCTCCCTCACTTCTTCATTCTCTCTGTTTCTTTCTCTTTCACTCCTCTCTCCCCCTCTCTCTTCTTCCCGCTCGCTCCCTCCCTCACTCTCTCTCTCTCTTCCCCCCTCGCTCTTTCCCTCTCTCGCTCACACCCTCTATCTCTCTCTCTCTGACCTCCCTCTCTCCCTCTCTCAACTTGGCTTGTCCAGTAGCCATCACGTCACAGATCAAACAAAACAAATGAATGTTCGGCCTGCGGGAGAGGACTGTTCTAAGAATCCTCCCCCCCTTACCCCAAAACCAGGGCCATTCCGACCTGGCTCTCCTGGGTCTAATAAGATGGCTGTTTTCTCGGCAGAGAGAGTTGAATTTAGGTCTGCAACAATAGGAGAGATGGCACCCTCGCTGTGCCATAAGCTTTGAGAATGTGCTCTTAGCTCAGCCTATCGCTGGCAGAGCAGGACAGGGTGGATGGGATGGAAGGGAGAGTGGAGACAACATCTTTTGAGCCTGGGCCAAATTGTGGCCAGCGGTAAAAATAGAGCCCCTTGTTTTCAGAAGGTATTTGGTGGGAATGAAGGCTTGGTATCATAAAGAACTGGAGCCCCTTATTGGCAAGGGGCTTCTTTGTGCTGCTGGGACGGCATAGAGAGGAGATCTCCAGGCTGCCAGGGAGCCTGATCACACTTCACCTTGGTTTTTCACAGGCTCAGTGTCGGCCACGGGGGCAGCGTGACCCACAAGCCAAATTCCTCCTCACTGAGACCTCTCCAGACTCCAGTCCAGGGGCGCAGGCCCCACTTCTTTTTTTACTAGGTGAGAATAAATATTTGCCTCATTTTTAGTAACAGGACAGGCGCTTTGCAGATAGATGTTTATAGAAAAGCTAGGGGGCTGTCAGAAATGAAGGCCAAGACTGAGGAGAACTGAGCACGCCAAGCCTCAAGCCAAGCATTCACCTCTCTCATAAAGCCTCAAGCCAAGCCACTGGGCCAGCATTCACTTCTCTCATAAAGCCTCAAGCCAAGCCACTGGGCCAGCATTCACCTCTCTCATAAAGCCTCAAGCCAAGCCACTGGGCCAGCATTCACCTCTCTCATAAAGCCTCAAGCCAAGCCACTGGGCCAGCATTCACCTCTCTCATAAAGGCCTGCACTTCAACAGACTCACTGACTGACTACAGTGGGTAGCCTACTGGATATCACTCTTTCTGGCACCCTTCTGGACAGCACTCTTTCTACTCTTTCTATCAGCCTACTGGATATCACTCTTTCTGTCTAACTACTGGATATCACTCTTTCTGTCTAACTACTGGATATCACTCTTTCTGTCAGCCTACTGGATATCACTATTTCTGTCTAACTACTGGATATCACTCTTTCTGTCTAACTACTGGATATCACTCTTTCTGTCAGCCTACTGGATATCACTCTTTCTGTCAGCCTACTGGATATCACTCTTTCTGTCTGACTACTGGATATCACTCTTTCTGTCTAACTACTGGATATCACTCTTTCTGTCTAACTACTGGATATCACTCTTTCTGTCTGAGTACTGGATATCACTATGTCTGACTACCAGTGGTGGAAAAAGTACCCAATTGTCATACTTGAGTAAAAGTAAAGATACCTTAATAGAAAATGACTCAATTAAAAGTGAAAGTCACTCAGTAAAATACTACTTGAGTAAAAGTTCAAAAGTATTTGGTTTTAAACATACTTACAGGGCCTTGCAAAAGTATTCATCCCCCTTGGCGTTTTTCCTATTTTGTTTCATTACAACCTGTAATTTAAATTGATTTTTATTTGGATTTCATTCAAAATAGTCCAAATTGGTGAAGTGAAATGAAAAAATAGGACCACTTTAAGCCATACACTCCACAGAGCTGGGCTTTATGGAAGATTGGCCAGAAAAAAAGCCATTGCTTAAAAAAATAAATAAGCAAACACGTTTGGTGTTCGCCAAAAGGCATGTGGGAGACTCCCCAAACATATGGAAGAAGGTACTCTGGTCAGATGAGACTAATATTGAGCTTTTTGGCCATCAAGGAAAACGCTATGTCTGGCGCAAACCCAACACCTCTCATCACCCCGAGAACACCATCCCCACAGTGAAGCATGGTGGTGGCAGCATCATGCTCTGGGGATGTTTTTCATTGGCAGGGACTGGGAAACTGGTCAGAATTGAAGGAATGATGAATGGCGCTAAATACAGGGAAATTCTTGAGGGAAACCTGTTTCAGTCTTCCAGAGATTTTAGACTGGGACGGAGGTTCACCTTCCACCAGGACAATGACCCTAAGCATACTGCTAAAGCAACATTCGAGTGGTTTAAGGGGAAACATTTAAATGTCTTGGAATGGCCTAGTTAAAGCCCAGACCTCAATCCAATTGAGAATCTGTGGTATAACTTAAAGATTGCTGTACACCAGCGGAACCCATCCAACTTGAAGGAGCTAGAGCAGTTTTGCCTTGAAGAATGGGCAAAAATCCCAGTGGCTAGATGTGCCAAGCTTATAGAGACATACCCCAAGAGATTTGCAGCTGTAATTGCTGCAAAACGTGGCTCTACAAAGTATTGACTTTGGGGGGGGGGGGGGTCTTATTTCTTGTTTTTTCTTAATAAGAAATATTTTGCATCTTCAAAGTGGTAGGCATGTTGTGTAAATTAAATGATACAAACCCCCCCCAAAAAATCAATTTTAATTACAGGTTTTAAGTCAACAAAATAGGAAAAATGCCCCTCCCCCCAAAAGAAATGTATGCACTCACTAACTGTAAGTCGCTCTGGATAAGAGCGTCTGCTAAATGACTAAAATGTAAATGTAAATGGGTGAATACTTTCGCAAGCCACTGTAAGTGTCAAAAGTCAGTTTAATTGCTAAAGTATACAGTACTTAAGTATCAAAAGTAAAAGTACAATTATAAATAATTTCAAATTCCTTATATTAAGCAAACCAGACGGCAGAATTTCTTGTTTTTAAAATGTATGGATAGTCAGGGGATATCACTATTTCTACTCTGTCTAACTACTGGATATCACTCTTTCTGTCTGCCTACTGGATATCACTCTTTCTGTCAGCCTACTGGATATCACTCTTTCTGTCAGCCTCACGGATATCACTCTTTCTGTCAGCCTAATGGATATCACTCGTTCTGTCAGCCAACTGGATATCACTCTTTCTGTCTGACTACTGGATATCACTCTTTCTGTCTGACTACTGGATATCACTCTTTCTGTCTGACTACTGGATATCACTCTTTCTGTCAGCCTAATGGATATCACTCTTTATGTCATCCTAATGGATATCACTCTTTCTATCAGCCTAACGGATATCACTCTTTCTGTCAGCCTAACGGATATCACTCTTTCTGTCAGCCTAATGGATATCACTCTTTCTGTCGGACTACTGGATATCACTCTTTATGTCATCCTAATGGATAACACTCTTTCTATCAGCCTAACGGATATCACTCTTTCTGTCAGCCTAATGGATATCACTCTCTGTCAGCCTACTGGATATCACTCTTTCTGTCAGCCTAAGGGATATCACTCTTTCTATCAGCCTAACGAATATCACTCTTTCTGTCAGCCTACTGGATATAACTTTTTCTGTCAGCCTAATGGATATCACTCTTTCTACTCTTTCTGTCAGCCTATTGGATATCTCTACGTCTGTCTGACTACTAGATATCACTCTTTCCACTCTTTCTGTCTGACTACTGGATATCACTATTTCTGTCTGTCTACTGATGGAAAGTCTCAAAGCTGCTTTCTACCCATTAGTCATCACTTTGATTTTCAAAACACAACACAATATAGCTAACCATGATGTTAGGGTTTCATCATGGTGTGTTTTTAGGCTACAGTTAGTTATTTTAATCATAGATAGATAGATGAAGGATTTTTTTTCATGCTTCATTAAAGTGTTATACGTCACAAACAAGCAAAACCCTTAACTAAAGCCAGACCGATATATTGTTTCACCGATATTAAATTGGCCGATATTGGTCCTTTTACCGATATAGGCCGATAATTCCACCGATATTCGATAAATAGGATGAAAAAGGCAAATATGTTCATTTTTTCAATTTTATTATTACGGTTAGGAGGCTCAGACTAGAGGTTACCAGAGGATAACGGGAAGTCACTTTCTCAGCAAAACCTCTCACAGACCTAGCCTGGGTTCCAATCTGTATGTGCTTCAGAAAAGAGAATAGAGCTGTGAAGTAGTGACTGCTCAGCTGCAGTGTTTTCCCCATAAAACCCAGGGGTTATTATTTGACTGTGCGCGTATATTTCTGTTCATGTTGTGTTCCTACTCTTGTGTGAAAATCTGTGTGTGGGTTTGGGTGCGTGTTTGTTCATTTCTGTTTAATCATGTGGTGTTCCTATTGCAGGTGTGGATTGATGGTGGCCCTCAGATCTTCTTCTCCTACGCCGCCACCTCGGGAAATCTTCTCCATATGATTTGTTTAATGAAATTGTCAGATAATCATTGGCTGTTGTGAATATAGGTGATTATGATTCTTGGCATCATAACGATGATAGTCAGAGGAATTCGACTGCAAGTTCCAACAGAATCACCATTATTCATAACAGCCCTATTTTCCTGACAGTTTTTGCCTAGTAGGCATAGGTGTGCCACAAAGCTCCGAACGATACCCTTAGTGTTGACACACAAAACAGAAAAGTATCTGAATTTTGGAACTAAATGTTCATAAACTTGTCTGAGGGCGTTTCAGCATGTCACCACACCCACCAGGGGTGAGAGCCTGCTCTAGCTCTTATTAACATCATTTAACCCTAAATTGGTTTTAGGTGGTTCGAACAACCAATTGATATACACTGAGTGTACAAAACATTAGGAACACCTTCCTAATATTGAGTTGCACCCTCTTTTGCCCTCAGAAAAGCCTCAATTCATCGGGCATGGACTCTACAAGGTGTCGAAAGCGTTCCACAGGGATGCTGGCCCATGTTGACTCCAATGCTTCCCACAGTTGTGTCAAGTTAGCTGGATGTTCTTTGGGTGGTGGACCATTCTTGACACACACGGGAAACTGTTGAGCGTAAATAACCCAGCAGCTTTGCAGTTCTTGACACACTCAAACCAGTGTGCCTGGCACCTACAACCATACCCTGTTCAAAGGCACTTACATCTTTTGTCTTGCCCATTCACCCTCTGAATGGCGCACATACACAATCCATGTCTCAATATTCTCAAAGCTTAAAAATCCTTCTTTAACCTGTCTCCTCCCCTTCATCTACACTGATTGAAGTGGATTTAACAAGTGACATCAATAAGGGAACATAGCTTTCACCTGGATGCACCTGGTCAGTCAATGACATGGAAAGAGCAGGTGTTCCTAATGTTTTGTACACTCAGTGTTCTTAATGCATTGTCTCTGTGCTTCTTCATTAAGAGCTCATAACATAATAATACTCAGTCAATCAGTTCTAGACACGCTGACAGATGACAGACTGTAAAATCTCCAAACATCAGGTTAATGCACATGTTAACTGTCAATGTCAGTACAGTGGAAAATGCAAAGCATGATCACAGTTACCTGAAATATTCCAACATACTACAAGAATGTAGCAGTTTCAGATTGCCTGGCAGGTGTATTGGATTTCAATTATGCAACCCATTACCAAACCTGTTACGAAATTATAAAAACGTTTGATAAATTAACATCTCTGATCAAATTATTCAACACATCTGTCTGAAATTATGTTTAGGTAAGACTGTGTGTGATACTGTACGTAAATGTTTACATTCTCCAATATCTGAGTCTCTTTGTTTGTTTGAGATAAGTCAAGTCAACACTTGGATTTGGGTGAAAACCCATCATACTGATTGTGGTCAGAATGTACAAGGTACAAGGTCCTGGATCAGTTAAGGACACAACTGAGTGAAAACCACCAGTGAAAATGTAAACAATGAAATTGATTTCCACCACAGGTTCAGATCTGATTGGTTGCTACAGTAGGGCCACGTTTAACAAAGCAAAAAAGCGGAATGTTTTAAGAACCAGAACATTATATTAAAAACTATTACTGTATTCAATCTATTTGTATGCCCCTCACTTTGGCCATCTGACAGAAAAAAAACTATAATATTCTAGACCGGTCCCATTATCCAGTAGCTAAGTATGGCCAACATACAGTAGGAATGACTTCTCCTGTGGCTCTGGCTGCATCTATAATGGTAACACATTACATATGAATGATCTCACTGTATTCATGTTTAGAATTTATTCAGTAACTCTAGCAACAATATTGCAACAACATGGACTTACATACTACAGTAGTTTAGTAGTTTAGTAGTTTAGTAATGATTTTGTAATTGCATAATGGTTTGAGGGGATGGTCCCACTTCAAACTAACTACAACTTATAAATGCTTTATATAGCACACAAAGTCTTCAAAAGCATGGCATGGATCCATAACAAATCATCTAAAAACTGATGTCATACTATATAAAGGGTGTATAAAGGGTAACATAACAGCTCCTTATGTAGGGTGACATAACAGCTCCTTATGTAGGGTGACATAACAGCTCCTTATGTAGGGTGCTATAACAGCTCCTTATGTAGGGTGACATAACAGCTCCTTATGGAGGGTGACATAACGGCTCCTTATGGAGGGTGTCATAACATATCCTTATATAAGGTGACATAACAGCTCCTTATGTAGGGTACATTGACAAATGGAACATAACCCAACCCAATATACATTTAACTCTAAAGACAAAAGGGCAAGGTAAGTCATGCATGAATCCTACGTTATTCATTAGCCAAGGTTAACCAGGGCAGTGGGTATTGTTTCTAATGATACAGTAACACATTGCATTTAAATTGGTTTAGATGTTCAATGCATTTGTATCGATCCAACTGAATCTGCACACATTTGTTAAGCAACCTGTCAACAGAGTGGTTATGGACCTCATCACCAAAAGTGGTCAACAACATAAGACTTGTGAACCTTACATTCTTAGAGTATATCCATGACTTGCATATCATAAAGACTGGATAAGATCCCTGGACATTAGCTCCTCTCAATAGATCAACATCTAGACTATTTCCAACATCAGCGACAGTTTTCATTATTATACATCAAAAAAGTGCCAAATAATGGGTCACCAAATGCCTCAATAAGGAAGCATCATCAGACCAGATGGGATATCTTCATAAAGACAAACCAAGCATGGCGCAGAGCCAACATCTAGGATTCAACAATACTCACTGAATATTCATCAAACTTAACCATTCAACAAACAGTTATTTTTAGAAGAACGCAAACTCATGCCAACCTAAAATGAAGCAGGAAATATGCCACTGTAATTGTGCATGATGCTTTCACCAGTACACATGCATGGAAAAGTAAGCATATTTGCTTCACCCAGTGCGTACTCACCTTTCATAGTGATGTAAAGACAGCCTTATGGTTTGAATGGTTAGCCAGATATTGGCCTGTTGGTGTCCAGGTTGCACTATATAACGTGCATGGAGGGGCGGGGATCTCTGTAACTCCAAACTTTAGTTCAGTCTTCAATGAGCTTCTCGTCAACTTTGCTCTGCACCCTCTTCTAGCCCCCCTTCCTCTAGTCCCATTCAGAAACCCCCACACACTCTCCCACACACACACACACACACACACACACACACACACACACACACACACACACACACACACACGCTCAATGCAGCACACTAGAGGTCTGTGCCTTCTCAGTGTGGTGGGTCGATTGCATAACCTTGGAAAACACACATTCTCCCAGGATCTCTCTCTCGGTCTATAGTGAGAGGGGGAGGTGGGACTGGGTTCAATATTGTGTTCAGACTTATAGATCTCCCTAAATACATTACAGACTGACGCACACAGGCATGCACGCAGTCACACACACACACACACACCGTTGCACCCCAAAGAGCCCCATCCAACCCCATCATATATTCCTCCAGTCAAGTGAGATTTCTAAGCTGTCTGCACTGACTGATTGTAATTAAAACATCACTCCTGCTTAGTGAAGCCCCTGCTCCCAAACACATCCCCGATTCATCCCCCGGAAAATAGACCGGATCCCTTCCTCACAGGCCCAGCACCCCATTCACAACATTTTCCCACTGCATGGGGCTAGAGTGGCCCAGTTCAGGACATTTGTTTGAAGGTTGTGGGTCTTAACAATCCAGAGGCCTTTTCTGGGGTTGACGTGTTCTGGCATGTTCTGCCTTGCAGGTTCTTTCGGGGTGAGGGCATTTTATTTTTATTTTTCAAATTGTATTAGTATTCTAGTCAAGGACATAGAAGTTTGCTTTCCCTCAACCTGCAGTTGTTTGACTTAGTTGTACTTGTTGTATTCAGGGTCTTGGAGCGACCGTAAATTAGAGATACAGCTTGGCTTTGCCAGATAACTATCTAGCTTTCCAGGAATTAACCCCATGTGAAATCAACAAACGATCTATCTGCATAATAGATTTTACTACATCTATAATCTACATCTTTAACCCTCCCGTTGTCCTAGGGTCAAAATGACCCGCCACTGTGTTGAACCAACTTTATTTAATTTTTATATTTTGGGGATCATTTGTGAGAAGGAGGCAGTGAGACTTTAAAGAAAGTATCACTGCCTCCTTCTCACAAATGATCCAAAAAATATAAAAATTAAATAAAGTTGGTTTAACACAGTGGCGGGTCATTTTGACCCTAGGACAACGGGAGGGTATGCTTACGATTCCTCCCAGTGCTTTACATTGTATAGGGGGAAGCTCAACCCTTCCACCACCAAACTGCCCCTAGTTCATACTCTAGGCATAGAGGTCCTGTGCATTGTAAAGATAATGACCAGTAGACAGCCCTATAGCGGTTTACAGAAGACAGCATTGACAGTAACTAACATAACCAATACTGTTGTCAATGAAATTGTGTTACACCACCAACACATTTTTCTGCCAAACGGATGGGATGGCGTTTCATTGGTAGTTGTAACCTTTGGCAGAGTTAACCTAAAGCATGCAGCTTGTAGTAGCTTGACATTGGATCCTTCCTCTTATCATTAAACTGTTTGCTGTGTCACCATGACTCCCTATACAAGGACCTAATAATCTAAACAGGATACATCTATAAGTACAATTGAGAGCATTGTCAGTTGGACAAGGTGGTTTCATGTCCTATGCTTGCCCGCCTTCAAACCATGGGTATGCCTAGATCAATCTAATATAGAATGACCATGACATCAACATACTCCATCCACTTCCTCAAGTGCACATGATCAGGTAGTATAATATGTTTTGAAGGTCGACTTACACATGATAAAGGGAGTCAACACAGTGTCAGGTCTAGATGTGCAAAATCAAAGCAAAAACAGCTGCTTCAGGTCATCATAGTTCAGTCGTTCAGTCCTGTTTGCCAGGAAAGCTTCATTAATTGCCCACACATTCCTTTGTTTAAAAAATGGCCCAAGACCTTGTCCAGAATAATTGTCACACTTGGTGATTTCCACCAGTCTAAAACAACATAAAGAGTACAAAAGGGTCCAACACCGGATGGACATCATGAAAATGATCGGAGAGGAGAGGGTAGAGGATGTTCAGGAGTAAAAACAAACAAAATATCATTATTGTAAAATTGACTGTGTCCATAAAATGTATATAGTATGTATAAGCTGGAAGTAGAGGCCTAAGCATTGTTGTTCACTAGTTTACTCCAATTAGGGAAGGGGTGGTGGGGTTGGAAAGTAATAAAGGGAAATATATTTAAAAAAAGGAAATGTATATGTATGTGTATATATGTATGTACAGTTGAAGTCGGAAGTTTACATACACTTAGGTTGGAGTCATTAAAACTTGTTTTTCAACCACTCCACACATTTCTTGTTAACAAACTATAGTTTTGGCAAGTCGGTTAGGACATCTACTTTGTGCATGACACAAGTCATTTTTCCAACAATTGTTTACAGACAGATTATTTCACTTATAATTCACTGTATCACAATTCCAGTGGGTCAGACGTTTACATCCACTAAGTTGACTGTGCCTTTAAACACCTTGGGAAATTCCAGAAAATTATGTAATGGCTTTAGAAGCTTCTGATAGGCTAATTGACATCTTTGAGTCAATTGGAGGTGTACCTGTGGATGTATTTCAAGGCCTACCTTCAAACTCAGTGCCTCTTTGCTTGAAATCATGGGGAAAATCAAAAGAAATCAGCCAATACCTCAGGAAAAAAATTGTAGACCTCCACAAGTCTGGTTCATCTTTGGGAGCAATTTCCAAATGCCTGAAGGTACCACGTTCATCTGTACAAACAATGGTATGCAAGTATAAACACCATGGGACCATGCAACCGTCATACCGCTCAGGAAGGAGACGCGTTCTGTCTCCTAGAGATGAACGTACTTTGGTGCGAAAAGTGCAAATCAATCCCAGAAAACAGCAAAGGACCTTGTGAAGATGCTGGAGGAAACAGGTACAAAAGTATCTATATCCACAGTAAAACGAGTCCTATATCGACATAACCTGAAAGGCCGCTCAGCAAGGAAGAAGCCACTGCTCCAAAACCGCCATAAAAAAGCCAGACTTTGGTTTGCAACTGCACATGGGGACAAAGATCGTACTTTTTGACCATCGTTATGTTTGGAGGAAAAAGGGGGTCGCTTGCAAGCCGAAGTGCACCATTCCAACCGTGAAGCATGGGGGTGGCAGCATCATGCTGTGGGGGTGCTTTGCTGCAGGAGGGACTGGTGCACTTCACAAAATAGATGGCATCATGAGGAAGGAAAATGATGTGGATATATTGAAGCAACATCTCAAGACATCACTCAGGAAGTTAAAGCTTGGTCACAAATGGGTCTTCCAAATGGACAATGACCCCAAGCATACTTCCAAAGTTGCGAGAAAAAAAAAGGTATGGGGGATTGGAAGTGATGCAGACAATTACATTGATGGAGGTTACAATCTATCTGCAATATTAAAGCTGATCTACCCCCTAAAAAAATAAATAAAAAAATAAAAAGGTTCCAACAACAATTAATTGTATTTCCCTTCATTCTCCCCCATTTTAGTTAGTTTCCTACTGTTCTTCACTGTACTGCCACAGGTCGCTGATCAGATTCCCAAATGACACCATTTTCCCTATGTAGTACACTACTTTTGACGAGGGCCCATAGGGCTCCGGTCAAAAGTAGTGCACTATATAGGGAATAAGGTGCTATTTGGGACTCAACTTGTGTCTGTCTGCCAGGCTGAAGACGCTGCCCTGTCTCTCCTTGTTACAATCAGCCTGTCCTGTTCATAACAACCATGCTGTTCATTAGGAGGTTTAAGCATGCAGCTCCATGTCTCCTGTCGTGAAGGAAGGCAGTTTGGGCCTGATCTGTAGTCTGACTGTGAGACACAGTTGGAAGGTTCGCTCATAAAGATTCCCATAGAGCCCTGCTTTATCTTAATTGAACTAGTTTGTTGCACCAAGAGGTCATGATTACACATCTATACTGAACAAAAATATAAATGCAACACGTAAAGTGTTGGTCCCATGTTTCATGAGCTGAAATAAACGATCCCAGAAATGTTCCATATGCACAAAAAGCTTATTTTTTTCATATTTTGTGCACTAATTTGTTTACTTCTCTGTTAGTGAGCATTTCTCATTTCCAAGATAATCCATCCATCTGACAGGTGTGGCATATCAAGAAGCTGATTAAACAGCATGATTATTACACAGGTGCACCCTGTGCTGGGAACAATAAAAGGCCACTCTAAAATGTGCCGTTTTGTCACACAACACAATGCCACAGATGTCTCAAGTCTGAGGGAGCATGCAGTTGGCCTGCTGACTGCAGGAATGTCCACCAGAGCTGTTGTCAGAGAACTGAATGTTCATTTCTCTACAATAAGTCGCCTCCAACGACGTTTTAGAGAATTTAGCAGTACGTCCAACCGGCCTCACAACCGCAGACCACGTGTAACCTCGCCAGCCCAGGATCTCCACATCCTGCTTCTTCACCTGCGGGATTGTCTGAGACCAGCCACCCAGACAGCTGATGAAACTGAGGAGTATTACTGTCTGTAATAAAGCCCTTTTGTGGGGAAAACTCTGATTCTGATTGGCTGGGCTTGGCTCCCCAGTGGGTGGGCCTGGCTCCCAAGTGTGTGGGCCTATGCCCTCCGAAGCCCACCGATGGCTGCGTCCCTGCCCAGTCATGTGAAATCCATAGATTAGGGCCTAATTTATTTATTTCAATTGACTGATTTCCTTATATGAACTGTAACTAAGTAAAATCATTGAAATTGTTAAATGTTGCGTTTTTGTTTAGTATAAATGGTGATGTATGTACAGTCGTGGTCAAACGTTTTGAGAATGACACAAGTATTGGTCTTCACAAAGTTTGCTGCTTCAGTGTTTTTAGATAATTTTGTCAGATGTTACTATGGTATACTGAAGTATAATTACAAGCATTCCATAAGTGTCAAATGCTTGTATTGACAATTACATTACGTTTTTGCAAAGAGTCAATA